GTGAGGGCGGGGAAGGAGGCGCCGTCGGCCTGGGGCTGCCCGTTGCGCTCGGGGCTAGTGGCCTCGGTCCTAAAGGGGGATGACTAATACTTTAAAGGTATCATGAGTGCTATTTTCAGTACACTGCTCAAACAAAGGCACATCAAAGGCCATTCACGAGGAAGGTACTTAAGCTGTTCCTGAAACTAAGAGGAACTACGGCATCTTAGTCGCGGCTGAGGTGTGGGTCTGGAGATGAGCTTCCTTCTGGCATTGCCATGCGGGTGTTTGACCTGGAGATGGTCATGTTTTCTGGTAGTCGGCTGTGATCCAAATGTGCTGATGTTTGGATCAAGTAATGTCAGTGCTCAGGGCGGCCACTGCACCTTGAAAGAAATACTTCATTTTTAAAAGCAGACTGGACACAAAGTCGGTGGTTTGCTTTTAGTTGTGCTAGGGAGATGCAAAGACAGCAGGTGTAAACCAGAAGTTGTGCTCTGGGGTTTCAGAAGATGGGCATGAGGGAGAGTTTCCTAATTTGTGTTCAGGCCGTTGCGTCGTGGTAGCAAGCTTCTGAAAATGGTGTTTGTCTTTGGAGAACTTCTCCGGGGCCTGTGCAGTTTGTTTGTGGTCACCCTGGGGAGCGCTCTGGCGAGGTCAGGTACCTCTGTTTATAGATTTGAGCTTTTGGGCCTAAATCCACAGAAGCGTTTAGTCTTTTAATTCCTGTTTAAACAGGCCTCTAAACAGGAGATAGGAGCCTACGTACCCTTGTGGCTCCGATGTTAAGTGCTACTCATTCCATTTATTTAGGAATTAATAGCTCATTTGTAGGGGAGGAAGGGGGGAAAGTGAAGGCAGGCAGGGAGAAAATTGTAGTTGAGAAGGCATGTGTCTCAAAATTGGAATTGCTTTTCCTAAAACTGAAGAGGCGTTGGGCAAATAAAACCTATTGGGCTGAAAATACATTCTCCAAATGAGTCCATGGTGGCTGTACAGCCAGTCTCCTCTCAAGCAATTTAGACTTAAGTTGACAATGTCTGTCTAGACTGCTGTATAATAGTGTTGTTAATTATCTTAAAATTAAAGTAAGTTATTTTGTTTTGTACAGTGAAGACAATGACTGCTCATGGTATGAAGGAAATAAAGCTAAACTTGAATCTATGCCTGTAGAACCGAGTCTGTATTTTTATTTCTTCATTTTCTACAAAGTTGATTCTGAGTGATGCAAAAAAATACTAGAAAAGTTTTGAAGTAACTCATGGAAGAAGAAACAT